GGAAGAGTCTGTATTTTTCTTCCAGTCCAATGGGTGTAGGAAGCGTTCCAGCTCTCCTTGGAGATCATGACAATCACTATGAAAGTGCTATTCTTTTTTCCTTTCTAGTGTACTTTGGAAGTTAGGAAGCTCTGCCAGACGGCTTCTCTGTGACTTGTAGTTTCTTCTTTGGGGAGAGGGCAGGGACATCCTAGCTTTCTTTTTCCTCACTTAGAGCATACACACAGCTCCCCCCCCCCCCATGAAGCCAGGTCCCAGACGCGGTCCCTGTCCCTGTCCCTCGGGTTGGGAAGTTCACATTTTCAGTCAGTGGGCTGGGTTGGTGGGGCCACACAGAAGTCTGGGGTGGGGGGTGGGAGTGTCTCTCTTTGTTGAAGCTGCAAAGCTGAGGCTCATTGCTCCCTCCAGTAATGTGCAAACCCTGGGGTGCAGTGGGAGAGGCCTGGCCATGGTGTGGCGCCCGCCCTGCATCCCTTGCGATGGATGGATCCGAGGCCAGCTTGATGACAGGTATGGTAGGAGTGACCATGTGCAGGATGGGCCTACCAGGCCGACTCTGCAACTGCTCTGCAGACACAGTGGATCCAAGGTTGTGGGGTTTTTTTTTGAGGTAGAGCAGATGGACAGAGGCAGAGTCTAGATGCATTGATTATAAGTCAGGACTGAGTTGCAGAAAGAGAAAAATCCAAACCTGCTCACTTACAAATTTTGGGCAAATTCTGTCTATATATTTTCTTATTTGAAAAAGCAGCCTTACGCTTGCTATAAAAAGGAATATGAAAAATTTTAGGAAATAATGTTTTTTTGTGAATTTGTTTCTATTGACTGGGACTTGGGGATGGGACTTAGGGGTGTCACTGTGGGGCACACCCACTCCCACCCCCCAGGGAATGTCCATTCTAATCCTCCTGGGAGTCCTCTGAAGCTTTTTCTTCTTTTTCTTGGCTCTGCCCCATTGCTAGCTGGCTCTTCTTTAGAAAAAATTTTCTCTTTTTCTTGGGAACACTCCTGGCTGCCTCTTTGGGTCACTAGCAGTTTCCTCCTTGGGTAAAGACTTCTTCAGGAGGCTGGGGATTTAGCTCAGCATAAGCGCCTGCCTTGCAAGCAGGCAATCGTGAGTTTGATCCCTAGTACCAACAAAAAAAAAAAAAAGACTTCTTCTTCTTGGGTGGGCTTGTGCTGCCACCAGCTGTCTCCTCCATATCACTATTAACCAACTCTTCCCTGGAAAAAAATTTCTTTTTCTTGGGTTTGAACATATGCAGATGGATCATCCTTTCCGTTCTGCTGAGGCACCCCTTGGAGTTTTTGCTGCTTTTTCTTTTTGGGTTTTTCCTGTGTCTCCTCGCGCTCCTCTGGAGTGCTGCTGCTGCTGTTTCTGAAGACGCCAGAGCGGCCGGTGCAGCCAGGCGCTGCTTCTCCTTCCTCAGGCACTGCTGCTCCTGTTTCTCCAGCTTCCTGGTGATTCCCGCAGCGGCTTCCTCTGCCTGGCAAAGCAAAGTGCTGAAGAGGCATGGAGTTCTGTGTCTCACTACAGTCTTTCTGGCTTTACTGGAGAAAATGATTAAAAAAAAAAATTTACGCCTGCCAGAGAAGGATCTGAATCTTGCACATCGCCAGCAAAGGGTCACTTCCAGGCCTTTCTGGAAGCCCCTACTGATTTTTCACAGTCTTGCGCCCATATAACCAGATCCACAGCCATTTGTTACTTAGCAGGAATTAAACCTGTGCTCTGCCTTGAGTTTGATTTTAAAAGTTGTGCCAGTGTCCTGAAGATCTGAGGCCAGGGGTGATTGCCTGAGTCACCCCAGCAGCATAAATGTCGGTAATAAAACCAAAGGCAGTGTGTAAATTTATGCTGGGGAAAGTTAGGGCAAGCGCAGGTGGAGGGAGACCTCGCCGGCGCCCAGAGCCTGCTTGAATTTACGATCTCTCTCCCTCCCTCTGCCTGGAAGCCCTCTTGCGCCTACCAAGCTGACTGTGCCTGCTGCCGCTACTGGTGCCCCCTAGTGGAGCAAGCAGAGAGGTTCAGGCAGCCAGAGTTGGGGTGTTGACCCTAACCCTCTCCCGCTGCTTGTTGGCTGATTTTGAAAAAAAATGTTATATTGTTGCCTAGGTGACTGTGTAGTTAGGCCCACTGGTTGCCGCTGTGTGAAACTTTTCTTGTTATTATTGTCTGATGCAACAGTGATTACACAGCATTCACATAGTGTTAGTTATAAGTAATCTAAAGATGACTTCAAGTATAACAGGAAATGCGTGGTTTTATGTGAATACTACACTGTTCTCTATCGGGTACGGAGCCACCTGTGGATTCTGCTATCTGTGGGGGTCTTGGACCAACCCCTAGTGCTGCCCACAGTCCACCATGTCCTGATGCTGGAGAGAGTGGTCTCCCAGGGTCCCAGCCTCCTGGCTGTTGGTGGTTCAGCACCTGCTTTATGGAAGCGCTCGATGCGGGTTTGTAGGGTGATGGTGCTTGCTGTGGGAGTTCCACAAGTCCTGGCAGCCTCCAGGGCCGGGCCGGCTGTCACACTGGCCGAGTGCTTCCTAGAGTCAGCGATGTTTGTGTGCAGACCTTTCAGTGCCCAGTGTAGTTACTGTTAGAGTGACCACATTTCATCAGATACAAAAGCCAGTTGGAATCAGACCCTCTGCGGCCTGTTACGGAGAGTTGTTTCAGTAGAAACGATCTCAGTGGTACAGTCTCTTGGTCTTAAATTATGTTCAAAGCATGGTCCATTGGGAGAAATTGTGAAAATTTGAGATTGTGCATTTAGATTATTTTTTGTTTTTCCCCCTCTGTACTGGGGGTGGAACCTAAGACCTTGCACATTTGAGGCCCCGAGCTGCACCCCCAGCCCCGCCTTTCTTTATGGAGTGAGAGAAGGGAGAGCTGGAAATTCTAAGTCCGAACGCCTGCTGTCTGTGGGGTGTGTGGAGGTGCTGGCGGGGTGGCAGGGCCCTGGGGCACGTGCTTGGGGGTTTTTACTTCATTTCTCCCTGAACACTGGTAAAGTCAATGCGCCCTGCTATGGACACCGATTGCTGGTGAAGAAGGCGTTCTGGGGTTTGCCCCCTTGCATGAGAACTTGACAGCCTGCGTCAAGGCCACGTGTGCGGCTGGCTTCTCCCCTGGACCTCCTGGCTCACTGCTCCCCCTCAATGTGATGCTTTTGGTCTTGTGTGGGGGGGTGTTCCAGCTCTCAGCCGGGTGCACGCCCCGCATACACCCATTGCTCCCCGTAACCGCTGTGTCCTTCACTTGGCCCATTCTGGCCGCCAGTCTGTTGCAGAGTTGGCTGACGCCCGCCGCTGACTCCCATCCTTGTTCATTGCTGTTCATCTCCTCTTTCCCTCACTCTGCTAGGATTTGCGTTCCGTGTTCCCCAGCCCTGAGAGCACTTGGCATACAGCGGGCATTGGGTAAATGAGGCTCGCCTGTTGCGTGAATAACCAAGGCCCCTCTGGGCCAGGAACTGTTCTAGGTCCTTTTTGGGAGTGGGGCAGCCCCACCTCTTGTGTATCTGGGCTCCCTGCACTGCTTCCTGTGTGTGTGTCCGGCTGTCGGGCCCCCCCGCTCCTGGGTGGCTGCCAAGGCCTGTTAGCCCTCTGTTTGTTTTTGCATGGCCTGAGCACTAAGCACTGTGTTTTGCCTCTCTCCGCGCCCCTCTCTCCTGTTACCAGGGACTGAACCTTCTGCCTTCACCATGAGCTGTCTCTCTAGCCCCTTTTTAACTCTTTATTAGAGACAGAGGCTTCTTAAGTAACTGAGTTAGCCAGACTAGGCTCAAGCTTGGGATCCTTCTGCCTCAGCCTCCAGAATGCTGGAATTACAGGTGTGCTACATGACACCCAGCTGGTCACTGTATTTTAAAATGTAAAACATACTCTTACGGAGGTTGGCTAGCCCTGCGGGGAGGGCAGGTGTTCAAAGGGTAGATGATGGTGCCTCTGACCAGCAAAACTTGAAGCATTCACTGGCTGGCCCTTACAGGACTTGCGGGTCTGTCTCCTGTAGGGCTGTGAGGACCTTCCTTCACTCTCAGCCCGGGGATATAATGTTTGGGGGCTGAGTGGAACCCACAGGTCTTTATGCCGTACTCTGGAGGCAGACGTGGATGTGAACTTGGTGTTGACCCGTTCTGACCCTCAGGCCTGGGTCGGTGGTGTGTCCTGAGCCTACCCCCCGCCCCGAAAACAGGAGCTGAGATTGCATCTCTCTCCCACTGTGGGGGTTGATCAAGGCCATCAGTCCCTGTACCTGTGTGGCACAGGATTTGTGCTTAGTGTTAGCTTTTATTGTTGGTGCAGATAAACATTCAGCAAAAATTGTGTAATCACATAAACCAAACTCTGTAACCATTGTAAACTAAATAATAAACCAGTCATTGTGGGTTAGCTTCTCGTTTTTTTTGCAAATTAATAGCTGACTTTTCCCATGGATTGGACTCTTAAATCTCTGCCTCCTTTTTTTGGAGACGGACTCACTTTGTAGTTTAGGCTGACCTCAAAACTCTAGGTGATCCTCCTGCCTCAGCCTTCTGAGTGCTGGGATTATAGGCGTGCACCAACATGCCCAGCCCTATTTTTTCTTTTGAGGCAGGATAAAGCGTCTTGAGGTGTAGTGGTCATTTCTTTCTTAAGACAAGGTCTGGATTTGTAGTCCAGGCTTGGCCTCCAACTCCCAGCCCTCATCCTCAGCCCCCCAAGTGCTGTGATTACAGGTGTGCACCACCGTGCCCAGTGCAGTGCTGGTTCAGAAACCCTAAATCCCTGTTACGAGCGATGCTTTCTTGGGGGCCTGAGGTAGCTCTGTGTGCTGTGCAGCTGGCCTGGATTGCAGCACAGTCTCCCCTGTGGGGGAAAGAGGGTAGAGCCAGAGGGCGCGGACACCCTCACACCTGGGAAAACCTCGCTGCCTCCAGGCTGCCGGCCTCCTGGGCGATGCACCAATCTGAAATGCCTGAGACATGACATATGGGCCTGTTGCTTTGCAGGGACGGTGAAGGTGAAGAGTTCCAACATCCAGGTGGGCGATCTCATCATCGTGGAGAAGGTGCGTGGGGCCTGGGGGCCTGGCCAGCGTGGACAGGTCCTGCCGCCCCTTCCCAGAGCCAGACGAAGTGTTGGTCCAATTCACCTTTGGAGCACTGCAGTTTCCGACTCCGATTTTGTGCCTGCCAACGACTTTATGGGGAACAGGGATGAACGTGGGAACGGTAGAGAGGCCCCTCGTGCATTTTCAGAAGGGCCGTGCTAGTGACCATGGCTTCAGCTGAGCCCCGCTTCTCCCCCTCCCCTGTGCATTTGGGAGGGTTGTGGGTGGGTGGGGAGGGGCTTAGGATGGTGTTTGGTTAGGAAAGTTTCCCATCCCACCTTGTTTGTGTGGGAATCGAGCTGTACCCTTCCACAAGGATTACGTCCCAGAACTCAGGGTTGACCTGAAGGCAAGGGAAACTTCAGAACCACACGTGATTCTGGATGTGATTATGGGCTCTTCTCTTCAAAGTTAAATGTGGTTGCTGTTGACTTCCATGTTTTTTGAGTTTGCTTGCTTGTTGGTGTGTCTTTGAAAATGACTCTTACTGCTTCTTACCACTGTGCTTTTTTTAAAAAATTAAAATCGCTCTAAAAGCTAAATACGGAGCTGGAGAATTGGTAGAAGCAGAGAATATGAATGTGAAGAGAACACGTCTTTCCATTTTTTTGAGACAAGGTCTCACTGTGTAGTGCAGGCTGGCCTTGAGCTCACTATGTAGCCTAGACTGACCTTGGACTCACAGCCGTCCTCCTGCCATGTTACCTCGGATGGGCTGCTGACTGCTGAGATCACAGGCGGGCTCCACCATGCCTGGCAAGCGTCTTGAGTGCCTGAGGGTCCTGGAAGGATGCTGGCTGCAGGGGCAGATTTACCCATGTCCCCTGGGTGGACTCTCAAGAGGCTGTTGTTGAATCTGCAATACCACCATCAGCTTCCTTCCCAGGTGGAATTTGAGTAGTTAGTAGGGTCCCAGAAGTGTGCAGGACTTTGCAGATTCAAAACACAATAACCGTCCCCCAAATTTGTCCTGGTCAAAGGCAGACATTTAGAAGAGGGGGGCGGCTGTGATTGCGCCCCATAGCAGCACAGCTATCACAGTAATGGTCTCCTTCTCCCCCCAGAACCAGCGGGTCCCGGCCGACATGATCTTCCTGAGGACATCCGAAAAAAATGGTAACCGTCTGAGACTTGGAAAATGATGTTTAACCTTTCAGGGGTGACTGGACAGAGTCGTCATTTATAAACGCAAGAGAAGTAGATGGCCACTTTGCAGCCGTGGAGATGAATGGAAAAGAGCTCGTAATAGTGTAGTCTTCTGCAAGTGCCCATGGCCTTGGCTTGCCCTCGGGGCCGCTGCGGCTCAGTTCCGGGAGTTGGTTCAGGAGGGTGTCTGACAGAGGGACTCTCTTTGGCATGGGACCAGGAGGCTGGCGAGGAGACTGGGCAGTATGGGGTTTGGGCAGAGGGGTAGGTACCTTTGGTGCCCTTTATATCTCAGTTTTGGAGGTCCTGGGAGTTAAACCCAGGGCCTTTGCACTGAGCTTGTCTCCAACTTTTGAGTCAGGGTCTTGTTAAGCTGCCATGTTACCTCGGATGGGCTCACTCTTGAAATCCTCCTGCCTCAGCCTCCCAGGGTGCTGGGGTCGCACGTGTATGCCACCACATCCAGCTACCCTTTGCTCTTGAGTGATGGGGCCTGTGCCTGTGGGTTAATTTGTCACCATAGCCCAGTTCCCAGAGAGACTGTCTCCAAGTCTCCTCTAAGACCCTTACCTGTTGCATTTATTTCCTGCCCTGCTTTTTTTGTTGTTGTATTTAAGCTGCTCTGAGAAAAGAAGCTGGTGTTTGTTTTGTTTCTTGCTTTGGCCTGTCTGGCCCAGTTGGAGGTATTTGAGCATCTGAAAAATTTACATTCCTAATCCTTTGGGGTTCTTGTGATTTGTTTTACTGTGAATTAAGGGAAGTTATGAATAACTTTTTATACTGATGACACTTTAATCAGGAGAGAAGGTAGAGGGCTCTAGGATAGAACAGACTTCCAAAGGCTGCAGGCTTGTTCTCAAATGAGTTCTGCAGTGGGCTTGGGGTGTGGGGTGCTGCGGCTCAGGGCCTTCTGCACCCCTCCCCGTCTTCACAGTCACAGAAGCACAGCTAGGAGCTGTCTCCTGCGGTGGTTCTCCAAGTGTCAGTGAGTCCGATATGTCACCTGCCCCGTGAAGTGCCAAGCTAATTCCATGGACTTGCATGTCACCTGGGGAAAGCTGTGACCCAGTGTAGCCTGAGTATCTGTTACCTGAACTGCTTGGGACCCACAGTGCTTCAGATTCTGGATTATTTGCAGTTTTGGAATATTTACCAGTACAGAGTGAGCTATCTTGGGGATGGGAGTGGAGTCTAAACCTGAATGAAATGTACTGATGTGTGTCTTGTGGCTGTCTTGTCCACGTAGGCTGCAGGTCCATTTATACAGCATTTTCAGTAATTGTGCATCTGTAACAAGGTGTCCTTCTTGTGACATCATGTTGGGCTTCAAGCACCCTTTAGATTTTGGGTTTCTGGGTTGGGGTTGCTCCCCCTGGGCTAGCAGCAGATGCCAACCGGCCCCTTCCCGAGTGTGGCCTGGCCCAGCTCTTTGGTCTTCCCAGAATTCCTGAAGATGGGGTTTTTCCTGTCAGTGTCTGCACACAAGCAAACCGCGGTGCAGACAGGAGATGGGACGCAGGGCCCCTGCCTGCTGTGGCCTCCAAGGCTGGACGCCCGCTGGGTTCCTGCAGCAAGCTTGTCAGCACTGCACCTCACCGTTTTGAGAGGAGGACACACTGGGCCGGCAGGGTCAGCTGCCCCAGGGTCTCTCAGCAGGTGACAGCGGGCAGAACTGGAAGCCAGATGTTTCTGACTGAGAAAGGGGAAGTGGAGGATTTATTTTCCTTTTGGGTCTCTGGCTGTGGACCGGCCCTTTTTACAAGGACCAGAGGAGGAGGGTCCCGAGGTGCCTGGGGAAGGACTCTTGGACTGCAGGTGACTGGGTGACGCCCCATCTCCCTCCACAGGCTCTTGCTTCTTGCGGACTGACCAGTTGGATGGGGAGACGGACTGGAAGCTGCGGCTGCCCGTGGCCTGCACACAGAGGCTCCCCACGGCCTCGGTGAGTAGCTGGGCAGAGCAGGTGCTCAGAGCTGGCTGCCCTGCCGGCCCCAAGGCATGCAGAGGAGAGGCAGGGCAGCTGGGGTCTGGGGGCCTTGGGGGCCTGAGAACCTGGAATGTTTCTCAGTTCCTATTTTGTTTTGTTTTGGTACTGGGGATAGAACTCATGACCTAGTGCTTGCCAGACAGGCGCTTATACCACTGAGCCAAAATCCCTGGCCCCTGGTTCCTATTTATGTGGCCTGGGAAATGTAGCCCCAGTGTGTGCAGGGAGCAGGTCCTTCCTTCAAGGGAGGCTCAGAAGCCTAAGATACCTGACTCCGTCAGAGCCTCCAGCAGCGTCCCCTCTTCCCAGAGCTGTCCTCAGCCCTGTGGAGCTGTCTGCTCCATTTGGGCTCCACCTCAGCAGTGACTCATGCTCTGCTGCTGGCCTCTTGGTCGAGAACACTTCTGCCTCGGGTCTTTCCCCTTGTTAAGTCCTCCCCTAGGGCCCCTCTCAGCCCATGTCTGCTGGCCAGACACCTGCAGTGTGTCATGCCTCGCCCACTGCGCCTACGCCACCCCTCTACAGACCAGGTCTGTGGCAGGCGCTGCCCAGTTGTCGCAAGGCACCGTGTTCGCCTCTGAGTCACAGGCATCCGTGCTGGCCATGCGAAAGAGTGGACAGGTGGGCACAGTGTACTGTAGAGGAGTTAACATAGCTGTAAGCCCGGCCACTGCACTCCTGAGCTGGCACAGCTCGGAGGAGGGGAAATGGCTCCCTCCCTGCTGCTAAGTTTTAAACCAGGAGCCTTAGGGCAGCGAGTTCTAGGTGCCATCCGGGGCCCCAGAAAGCATCATGCCTGTCATGTGGAGCTAAGCCAAGGACACAGCGTCTGTTTCGCCGGGGACCTGTGTCCTCCAGAAGCAGGGTTCTGGTGCCCAGTGGGACCAGAAGGGCTCTGCTCAGAGCCTAGAAAGGAAGATGCCAGCCAGTCCCGCAGCTTGTGTTCCTTGGAGGGCACTTTGTGGGCATTTCCGTTTGTCCTCATTTGGTCCGGGCCTGACCTGAGGTTCAGAGAAGGAAAAGATGAACGAGTCTGACTGTGGACAGACATTTTATTTTATGTTTAAATTAAATTTTCCTTTTTTTTGAGACTGTCTCACTATGTAGTTGGGACTGGACTTGAACTCACTATGTGGCCCAAACTGGCCTTGAACTTGCCACCACCACACCTGGCTGGGTATAGCATTTCAATGAACTTTTTAAGAAATTATATAAGTTAGCCATGGAGGTATACACCTATAGTTCCAGCACCCGAGAGGCTGAGCAGGGAGTCACAAGTTTGAGACCATTCTGGGCATGGAGTGTCTTCCAGGCCAGCCTGGACAGTGAGACCCTGCCTTAAAAAATTCTAGAAAAGCAGGCTGTATAAAACGATTACCTGAATAATACGAATACAAATACATTCTTGATTAAAACAAAACCATATATTCTGTATTGAAAGCTTGGAACAAAGTGAAGTTTGTCCCACATCTTCTCCTCCAAGGTCTCCGCGTCTGCCTAGAGGGGGTCATGTGAAGTAGGTGGAGGTCTTGCCAGATCTTTTTCTGTGCACTTACACGCTCACGTGCATGCGCACACCTGCACACAGATTTGTTTGGGGGTGGTGACTCCACACTACTGATTGCCCTGCATCTTTTCCCCCGGCCCATGCAGGGTGCTCCCTGACCACCTGACGTTTGCAAAAGCGAGTTCCATGAACCGCTCAGATTTCACGTGGGTGGTTCAGGAGGAGCGGAAAGCACAGCCTCATTCGTTCCTCTGTGTGTCTGCTTAGTACTATAAAATGTGGAAACCATAATGTATCCATTTCCTAGCTCTCAGTGTTCATGGGCAGTTTTATGTTTAGCGTTTTATTACCAGGAATCCTGGTCTTAAAAGTGAAGTTATCTAGGAAGAGCTTGCTTCCTTTTTCCCTACAAACGGTCTCTGCTTCGTTTTAAGAGGTCAAGTGAGTGAGAGATAAAGGGACGCCTCCAAGGCCGGCCCCAGGGGTGTAGGGAGGGAGCGCTTGCCTGCAGTGCGCGAGCCCTGAGGTCCATCCCCAGCCCTGGAGAAATGAAGAGAGACGCCTGCACGGCAGAGCTGGGAGCCAGGTGGGAGCCGGGGTGGTATCGAGGTAACCCTCTTACTAGCTCCCCCGGCCTGCAGGGCCAGGGGCCCCCTGCCAGTGCGGAGCCCTGGCTCCTGGGCTCCTGGGCACCTGGGTGCGATCAGCAGGGCTGGTTTGGAAGAAGAGAAGGTAACAATGAGGAAAGGGAGACCAAAGAAACGGGTGAAGAGGAGCGAGGGCGGCGCGGGCACAGCGACAGCAGGAACTGTGGTCCTTGGTTGACTTCCTGCCCTGGGGGCTCCCCCTGCTGATGCCCACTGCCTGCCACCGGCGTCCCCCCATGCTGGCCCTGCCTTCCTGGGCCTCGCTTCCTGTGCTGCCCCACTGGAGACAGGGTGTGGCCATCACACAGGGAGGCAGGGGCGGCCGTGCCTTCGGACTCACAGGATGGTGAGCGGAAGGGAGCTGGGCTTTGCTCTGGGCTGGGTGTGCAGAAGGAAACTCGGGGTCCTCACAGCAGTGTCCTTCCTGTTAGGGAGAAGAAGCCTTGAGCAAAGTCCACAGCAAGTTCCAGTCATGAGAGTGCGTGCATGGGAATGAGGCGGGCAGAGTGTCTGTGACAGTGCTGGGTAGCTACGTGCATGTGGCTTCTCTCTCTCTAGAAAGAGTTCAGGACGCGTTTATGAGTTGGTATCCTACAAAACCACAGATACGCGGCCCTGGGGATCAGGGATCCTGCCATGCACGGGGCACAATGACACACCTTCCGCTTGGCTTGGAGCCTGGCACACTTCCTCCCGGGCCGGTGCACGGAGCCCGCTCTGTCCTCTCCCGGGGACTTGAGCTTCTGGACTCCGTTTGCATCTCCTCTAGGTCTCTGTCTCAGTCCCCGCCTTCCCTTTCCTGCTGCCCAGCCCCCTTCCTCCCTTGTTCTTTACTCCAGAAGGGACCCTACTCCTCCTGGCTGCACCCGACTCACGCACTTACTGTATTCTGCGGTGAAATGCTCTGCTTGCCAAGGAATTTCCGACAACTGCTGAGAGTTCCGTTTTACCGTGTTAACTCCTGTCTGAAGACCTGCCTGCCCCCGTGCTGGGGCTCAACAGGGCCTCGTGCATACCAGGCCAGCACTCTACCCTGAGCTACAGCACCAGGGCCTGTCAAAGATTCTGAGACAGGGTCTCACCAAGTTGTCCGGGCTGGCCTCAAGCTTGTGATCCTACTGCCTCAGCCTCCCGAGTAGCTGGGGTTACCGGTGCAGGCTATTACACCAGGCAGTACCAGCTGTGGTTAAGTGTAGTTCAGTGACACTGAATCCATGCGCAGTGTTGTGCAGCCAGTACTGGCGATCTCCTCCAGAGCTTGTCTGTCCCCTCCCTGAGCTCCTGGCACTCATCCTCCTGTCCTTTGACTGTGACTGTTCTAGGGACCTCCTGTATGTGGATCCTACTGTGTCTTCTGTGAGTCTGACTTCGTTCTCTTAGCGTGATGTTCTTAACATGTCCTTGTTATAGAATTTCTTCTTTTTAAGACCAAGTAATAGTCCCCTGTATGAGGATAGACGTTTGGTTATTCACCCTGATGGACACTGGTTTTGCTCAGACCTCATGGGTTTGGACAGACACCTCTTCAAGTCCTTGTGTTTGCTTATTTTGGACATACGCCCAGAAGAGCAGAATTACTGGATCAAAAGGTCATTCTTTGTTTAAATTTTTCTTTTTTTTTGAGGCAGGGTCTCACTGTGTAGTCCAGGATGGCCTCAAATGCATGGTGATCCTCCTGCCTCAGCCTCCCAGGTGCTGGGATGACAGGCGTGTGCCACCACTCCCGGCTTGTTTAATTTCTCGAGGAGGCACCATGCTGTTGTAACAGCGGCTCCGTTTTCATTCCCACCAGAGGTGCCCGGGGCTCCAGTTTCCCCGCACGGTGGCCGACACCGGCCATTTCTGGCCTGTTTGTTTTGGTGGAGGCCTCTGGTGGGAATGAATGAGGAATTCTTACTGTCTTTCTCATGCTGTAGAGATCCCATCACCTTGTGTTGAGTGAACCGGGCTGCTGAGCAGGTGGAGGGGGTGCTTAGCTTTGTGGCGTCTCTGAAGCATCAGGGGTGGGCTGGGTGAAGGCAGGTTAGCAGGTGTCTGCACCAAAGACTTCTTGGGGTTCTCGGGGTACCGTATGTGACAATTCCCGAACTACCGTAATGGAGGAGATTCCTTTCTCCCCCCACCCGCCTTTGAGTTTGGGAAGTGTAATCGCTTTAGAAAGATGGTGGCTGCTCCTAAACTGCAGACTCCTAACCGGCCTCTGTGTGCCCCACGCTCCCGCGCGGAACAGGACCTTCTCCAGATCCGATCGTACGTGTATGCGGAGGAGCCCAACATCGACATCCACAACTTCGTGGGCACTTTCACCAGGGTGAGTGGCGGGCGGGCGGGCAGGTGGCACAGTGCCTGGGAGGGTGGGGTTCAGCGAGCCAGGCTGCGCCCCTTGCATGTGGTGTTTTTACGCCTGGGGGCTGAGGTTCCCTTCCAGAGGCTCCGCCTGGAGGCCCACAGGTCTGAGATCTGCTGGCCTAAAACTACATATAACTGTGTGTGAGGATGAGTCCGCCCCAGACCTCGGGGCGCATTTTTCTTCTGATGTGCGTCTGTCCCTCCTTTCATGGGTACAAATGCCATCTGCTGTATCTTAATTTCTAAGCCACCTTTACACCTTTCAGAACAGAAATTAAATGTGGATTTAAATGAGTTTAGGAAGCTGAGTCAGTGAATGTAGAACCCTAGTTCAGGTGTCTCTGGTCTGCTTCTCGGAACCCTAAGGCTGGCCAGCAGAGAGCCTGACTGATTGCATCCGCATGTTAATACTCTCCCTTCCAAACCTTTGCTTGTTTGTTTTGCTTCTTGGTCCTGGGGTTTGAACCATGGGCCTTGTAGGCAGATGGTAGGTTAGTGCTCTATCACTGAGCTATAGCTCGAAAGGATCTTGCTCAGTTGTCCTGCCTGGCAGGGACTTGTGACCCTCCTGCCTCAGCCTTCTGAGTAGCTAGGAATACAGGCATGTGCCACAGTGCCCAGCAAAACATTTCTAAGTGTTAGAGCTTCTCAGATCACTTACAGATGTTTCCGGGAGAGAAAATGCTAAGGACAGTGGCCGGTTAGCTTGGCCCACCTGTCAAGACTGGACTTGGGGCTTCCATGCTGGGCCTCCGGTTTCAGGAGGTGGAAGCTGCCACTTCCTGTCCTGTGGGCCCTGCCAGGACCTTGGGGCACACAGTCAGGCCCCAGCATTTCCCTCAGGTTCTGCATCTGCCAGTTCAGCCAATCATGCTCGCAAATATTTTTTTAAAATTTGTATCAGCATAAAACATGTGCAGATTTTATTTTTCTTATTCCCTAAAACACAAAGAATCAACCGTTTGTGTAGCATTTGCATGGTATGAAGTGTCATCAGTCACCTAGACGTGAAGCAGGCCGTGTGTGGGTTTCTATGCAGCAGTTGAGGGACCTGAGCATCCTAGAACCTGGGCATCGTGGGGTGATCACTGAAGATGACTCTGTCTGGTCTTTTCCAGGAGGACAGTGACCCCCCCATCAGCGAGAGCCTGAGTGTGGAGAACACGCTGTGGGCTGGCACCGTGATTGCGTCAGGTGAGGCTCCGCGTCCAGGAATGTGTTAGCAATTTGAAAGGGACAGCAAACCCTTCTGTAATTAGAATAATCACCTGTCAGATGGAGAATTAGCCGCCAGTCATTGGAGTTTCCCACTTGTTCCAGCACCTCCAGGGAATTAAGCTGACATCTAATTGCGCTCCGACGCGTACAGACGTCCAAAGGGGAGGCCGCTGGGGCTGTGGACTCTCTGCAGCGGTCACGCTGGGAATGGCCTTTAATTGCCACTTCAGTTGACATTCTAATCTGTACCAGAGATGGAGCCTCCCGGCCGTTCTGGCCAGAAGCTGTGTCTGTGGGGGCCACTGCCCAAGGGGGTGCTGGGTCAGGGGCAGCAGTGCACAGCAAGGGGCAAACCTCTGGGTTCTCACCCCAGGACGAGTGGAAGCAGGTGGCTTTGGTGTGAGTGCTGGGGTGACCCTGGGCCGGGCACTAGGCCAAATCCTTTATGTGCAGCGTGCATCTCTCCTCACATACATGGAGCATCCTGAGGACAGGCGCTAGTGTTAGCCTCTTTCTGTAGAGGGGAAACTGAGGCCCAGGGAGGCTGAGTCTGCACTGGCCTGGGGGGGGTGAAAGATGGACGCAGAACTCACCGTGCAGCTGTTGATAATGTTATATCACAGTGTGTTACGGAATTTACATAATAGCGTATTTTCCTTGCCTTCTAATTCCCTGCTGGCAGCTTCCTGTCTTAGTGTTGGAGGAATCCTGTCTTTGCCCCCTTCAGTCACATTCCCTCTCCCGTTCTCTGCTTGGTTCTTCTTCGTGTCTCCATGCACAGCAGATACTGGGTCAGAATTCTAGGTGACCTGGCGGGGAGGGGAAGGAAGCACACGGAGCGCCCCGGGTGTCCCCAGCCCAGGCTCAGGGCTGACCACGGTGGGCAGAGGTTGGCGCGCTCTGGAGCTGCTTTGGTGCCTGCTCGTATCTGCAGCACAGTCTGTAATGGTGTCTCAGTCCTCTTGGTGCCAGAAGAAGGGACACTGCGGCCCTGAAGATTCTACTCGGGCCTCCCTGGTCAGGCTCCTGCCTTCAGGACACACAGCGGCCCCCCAGACCAGCAGCAGCAGTCTCTGCCCTGCTCCCCCTCTCTGAACGGGGCCCTTCTCTGCAGCAGTTCACCCCACTTTCACATCCCTTACTAACAAATAATTACTCTTGTCGCTTGGATAATTTGTAAAGAATCCAATTCATGTTGGCGTTTCAGAGGTTACATGTTGCGCCTGTATTTGGTTTCTTCCTTTTCCTGTTACTACTTGTTTCTGTCCTTCAATCGTTTATTTTTTTTTTAACTGTACAGTAACTATATGTCAGCACTTAAGTTCTTTTCTGGACTGTTTGGTGAAATCTTGTTATTGTTCAGTTTTGATTTGTGCGTATGTTTGAACAGCTTCCTACGTATAAGCCATTTCTTACCTTTTGGTCATCTGCTCTCCTTTGAGGTTTTGCGTGAATGCCTTACAGAAGAAAGTCCCTCAAACCGCTCTCTGTCGTAGGTTACACATAGTTTTCTTATATTGTTTGTCTCTTGTCCTCCCTCATCTGTGATAGACATTGTTTGCTTCTACCTTACAGAAGTTCTCTGACTTGGGGGTGCTGAGGATTGAACCACGGGCCTCACTTGTGCTAGGCAGGTGGTTGGCCCCGTAGCTACACCCAGCCCACAATTTCAGATTTTGACCCGTGTGGCAAGCTTCTTTCTGGTTTATGTTCTTGATAATCTTACATATGCACCCAAATCAGCACCAGCAGGAGTCTTCGGAGTTCTGACTTTGCTTCTGTGCTTTCTTTAGAATCCAGCTCCTGCCTCTTGATCTGTCCACTGCTGCCCACTACAAGTTAGAAAAGAAAGAACCCAGTGTCTCTGGATTTTCCACTTCTCCAGGGGAAGCTGGTGGTCTTAGAGCTCCCCAATTTAAAACACCCCATTCAAAACCTTGGAAGCAGGGCTGTCTCGGGGCGGTGACTGGGCAGAGGGCGAGGCCGGGGCCTCCTGGTAGCGGAGCTGTGGTCCTGAGCACAGGGAGGCCTTGGGCAGAAAAGGCCGTTTGTGGCAGCATTTGGTGGCACCAAGCTTGGCCAGGCTGGTGGAGAACATGCCCTTTGGGGTCCCCTTATTATCAGAACCCTCTCACCCTGGGCCTCAGGGTGGAGGATGCCTAGGAGAGTGTGTCGTGGCTTTGTGGTCATGCCTGGCTCCACCTGGCTCTGCTCCCACCGTCCTGCCATCTGCTCTGCCATGGGCCGAGGGCAGGGCGCATGTGGTCACCCTCCGGAGCTGCCATCTGCTGAGGAGCGAGCTACCAAGCCGTTCTCCTGGCCTCCATCTGCTGCGCCTCCTGCAGGGAAGCCTTGTGCAGGAGGACGAGGGTGGCCTTCGATGCTTCAAACTGGGGAGGTGGGCGCAGGCTGCCCGCAGCTTCCCAGGCGCTGTGACAGCGCGGCACTGATGGGGGCACTGGTGGGGGGCGCTCTCCGGCTGCAGATGGCTCCGAACCTCTTTGCTTCTCTGCGTCTCCCTTACGTGGTTCCTGAGAGTGAGGTGCGAGGGGAGAAGGCTGGCTTCTTTCGTCTTCCAGCAGGGACCAAGCCCTTGCATCCCCGGGTCCTTGTCACAAGTGGGCCGGGCTGGTCACCCTGGTGGCTGGAGTTTGAGCTCTGAGGCTGTTAATTCTGCTGCTCTGGCCTCTCGGGTCCCTCTCTCCTGCTTCTTCCTCTGCTGACCACTGTCGCAGCGCCTCTCACTCGCCGGGAAGGTTGTGTTTCTTGCCTTCCTTTATTGTGGGCTGTTTCCCCCTCTGTATAGGGCATTTTCTTGGCACATACATGAAAAAGCGGTGGCAGGTAAGTTTTTGACAGGTGTTATGTTTCCCCCCAAAATAGATTTCCCAGTGTCCTCCCGGCCCGCAGCGTGTGTGTAACAGGATCCACTCCGCCCCTTCACTGACACTGGCTGTTGTCCGTGTTCTGAGTTGCTGGGGGTGGAGGTGGTTTATTTTGCATCTCTTTGATTATGCAGTAGATTGAGCACTTTTTCTAAGGTTCCCTGGCCAGCTGTGTTTCCTCACAAACTGTCTTTCTTTTAGAAGGGTGATGCCTTGCCCTCTCGTGCCTGGAGGGAGAGGGGCGGGAAGTTCTTAGGAAGAGGTTTTCCTTTGCCTGGATGCTGCCCAAAGGGCAAAGCTAGATGCAGGGTTGGAAAGCAGTCAGACTCAGCGGGAAGCTGCTGGGAAAGCAGGGTGTGTTCCAGGGTTTGCATGATCACACCTGGAGGCCAGAAAGTTCTGCACCTCTCTGGAAGCCTTTAAGGCTGGTGGCAAGAAGGGCAAATCCCTGTCCCCCAACTCTCCTGCTGTCAGGGGCCCCGGACCCGAAAGACCAGTGCATTTGCACAGAACACCATGAAAATCAGAATGCTCTGCATCTTCCCTGACCTGTGACCCACACGGCTACCACCAGCTCCATTTCCCCTTCAGCAGGTTTATGTGGTTGTGCCCGTGCTGCTGGGCAGTGTGCCAGGGGTTATTGCTTGGCCTGGGTGTCCGATGTCCCACCTGTATCGCATACCCGCAAGCAGGAATCAGAAAGTGTCTGTTCAAGTCAGTGAGGCTCAGCCTGTTTGCAAGCCCACCGGTCTGCGTTAACATCTCCTTGGTTTGGTTTCTCCCTTCAGGTACAGTTGTGGGTGTCGTTCTTTACACCGGCAGAGAGCTCCGGAGCGTCATGAACACGTCCAACCCCCGAAGCAAGGTGTGTAAGAGGTGCCGGATGTGCCCCCGCCTGCATCAGTGACGCGTGCGAGTGGGCGAGGGGTTAGACTCAAAAGCAGGAGCACCGGCAGTGATGTGGCTTTCATTTCTGGCTATTCTCTCCGTGCGCGCTGACCCCTTGCTGCAGCCTTGGCTGTGCAGGCCCCTCCCTGGGCTCTGCTTCGTGTCGCGGCCTGGACAGGCGCTGCCGGACTACGTGGCGAGTGGATAAGGTGCCTGAGATGACGCTGGCTGTGGCAGGGCGCAGTCAGGTCTGCATTCTGCCCGACGCCTCCTGTGCGCTCACTCCTCCCATGGTGCTCCCAGCTCCATCCCGGCTCTGGTATTTTTCTGTGGTGGAGGCAGGGTCCCACCGCATTGCCCGGCTTGTTCCTCCCACAAGCGGCCCTCCTGCCTCTGCCTCCCACTTCCTGAGTCAGAATGTTGTAGACTGACTTCGTCAGCAGCGTGACAACCCAGTGCTGGCTGCCCTAATTCCCATCACATTCACCCCGCTGTTATAACCGTTGTCGTGACCACAGCATCCCTCATTGGCTGCTTTAGTCTTAGCTGGCCCAGATCCGTGAAATTACAACACACTAATTAGATGTGACAGGAATATATGTGGAAAGAAAGGAGTGTGTTCACTTAGGCAGCTAAAATCAGTGCCACCGGTGCCCGAGCTTTGTGTGTGGCACGGCATTGTGGAGAACTGAGGTCATTTTATGGAGCCATTGTGTAGGGTGCAGGGGTTATGCTGTGCCCAGCACAGCTCAATGCCGTTGTCACTTGCCTGTGTGTCTCCAAGCTGAAATCTTGAGTTCCGAACAGCCTGAAGTTAGGATTCTTTGAGGCCCTCGGCTGTCCGTTACCATCTCCAGCTGTGCAGGCTGCTGTTGTCAGAGCCGAGCCTTGAGGATGGCTAGATGCCACCATCCTGCTGGGGGAAGGACCCGGCTCCAGGAGGCCCTCTGTGCTCTGCCTGCAGATCGGCCTGTTTGACCTGGAAGTGAACTGCCTCACCAAGATTCTCTTCGGCGCGCTGGTGGTGGTGTCACTCGTCATGGTGGCCCTCCAGCACTTTGCCGGCCGCTGGTACCTACAGATCATCCGTTTCCTACTCCTGTTTTCCAACATCATCCCCATCAGGTGAGCAGGGGCTCATGTTGGGGGCCGAGGCGTTTTCTCCTCTTTATGCATCCCTAGGCCACGGCTTGGTGGCTGGGAGGAGGTGCTGCTCTCTGCGTGGCATGGGCAGTGTGACCATAGTCGTGGCTCTAGCCTGTGATGGCAGCTTCCCCTGGGCCGGCTACCATAAGTCACGCTGTGTGCAAAGAACCTACCTTGCCGTGGCCATCTGTGCTGGGGGTGGTATTTAGGGTTCAGTTCATCAGCCAGCTCTGCAGGGCTGGTCACAGCCATGACAAGGGCCGTGCGGAGAAGGTTGTGAGCCCGAGTCTGTGCTCAAACAGGGGCAGGTGTTGTGACTGGTTAGCAGTGACCACCGTGGGTGTGTGCCAGCTGACATAGAGACTGTCACGCCAGCACTTTGGAGGCTGAGGCAGGGGGATCCCTGTGAGTTTGAGGCCATCCTGGACTACACAGTGACTTAATTCCAGCCTGAACTGCATAGTGAAGCCCTATCTCAAAGAAAAAGTATAAGTAATACACTGTCATGGTAAAAAAAAATCAACACCCATATTAGCAAAGGGAGTAAATAAAAGTTACCTGCAACCTTGCTATGCAGTGATAAACTCTTACTTGCTATGCATTTTTTTCTAGACTGCTTTCTATTTTAGAAAAAGGGGATTCTGTGGTGAATAAAACCTGCATTTAAAAAACATCTAAGTGGTGTGTTGTAAATAGCTCTTCACATCAAACGCTCTTTGCTCCCTGATATTTTTCTTATAATACTGGAAACTGAACACAGGGCCTTTGCACTGAATCACACCCCAGCCCCTTTGTCTGTTTGGGACAAGGTCTTTATCAATCGCCCCTACTGGTCCTCCTGCCTTGGCTCTGAGAGTCCTGGCTTATAGGCATCTGCCGCCACACCCAGCTGTCCTGTCACTTTTTAGAACTGCTTTATTAAATATTCTAGAACTAGCAGTTTGTTTGTTGGGATGTTACTTCATACTTGTTTCTATTTTTCTCCATAGTAAATGATCAGTGAGAGTATTCAGTCAGTCAAATACCCTTTCACCCCTGACACTTCTGGTGCTTACAATCTCTTGATATCACGTTTTGTAGCACACATTTATATCATCTAGGTTAGAATTTGTCCACTTATGAGGCCAGAGATTGTAGTTTTGGGTCCAACAATGTGACCCTTGCAGGGAGATTGTGTCCCAGCCGACACACTTGGGATGGTGTTCTTGGGAAACACAGTCTGCTTTATTTCTAGACAAACACAAGTCTAATGAGAGGTTGAGTGAATCACAGACTTAAAGTTGTGCTTATACATGGTTGAAAATTAATAAATTGATTCTTCATATGGCTGAGGGCTAGACAGTAAAACAACAGGCAATTTGGCTACTAATTTGTGGAATTGTGAATTAGTTTGAAGATTTTTTTGCAATAAAATAATACATAAAATGGGGAGAATATATGGTAAAATATTTTGGAGCCTCTAAAATTGAAGGAAATTCTGACACATCCTGTGATGTTGATGAACTTTGAGAGGTTATTCTCATTGTGTAAAAAAGCCACACACAGGGCCGTTTTTTAGCTCAGTGGCATAAGCACCTGCCTGGCAAGCGCAAGATTGTGAGTTTGATCCCCGGTACCCCCCCCCCCAAAAAAAAAAATCACACACAGGAGGACAAGCATATTTGCTTCCAGTTGCGTGGGGCCTAAAGTAATCAGAGTCATAGAAATATCAGCAGGATGGTGTTGCCTGAGGCTGGGGGCTCGGAGCTGGCACCAGGCTGATTATTTCGTGGGGTTAGAGTTTGCGTTTGGGAAAGTGAAACAGTTCTGGGTGTGGTGGTGGCAATGTCTGCCCGACCACGGGAAGGTTCCTGCGGCTGATCCGTGTCCTTCAAATGGGAAATCTTATCTTTAAAGGTATGCCACATTTCAAAACAAAATATAGTAGCAAAATATATGAACTCGGGACCAGCAATTAAAAAGTAAAATCTGGGGATACAGTTCAGTGGTAGAGTGCGTGGTTAGCATGCTGGGGGCCAGCTTCAACCCCCAGTACTGTGAAAAGGGAGAAATACAAAGACAAGAAAAGGAAAGCTGGACACAGCTGCCTTGCTGTCTTTTAAGTGACCCTCGGTCCCGAGAGAAAGACTTCGTGAGAGCCAGGGTGCGTCAGCGCCTTCGCTGTGGTGCTGCTGACCGTGTTGGCCGGGGGCTGCGGTAGGAGCTGTGTCTCCGTGTCGTGGCACACACACGTGTAGCATGTTTCTAGCAGACGCACATGTGCCTGTTAACCTGCTTGTTCTGTTTCCCACGTAGTTTGCGCGTGAACCTGGACATGGGCAAGATCGTGTACAGCTGGGTGATTCGCAGGGATTCAAAAATCCCCGGGACCGTGGTTCGGTCCAGCACGATTCCCGAGCAGCTGGGCAGGATTTCTTATTTACTCACAGACAAGACAGGTGAGCGCTTGCTGGGGCCTGCGCTGGGTCCTGCGTGGCAGGGGGTGGGAAGTGGGAAGATGGAGAGTGACTGTGGTGCTGTGACAGCAACGACAGGATGCCAGCGGGTGCTCCCCTAGGCCGGGTGTGGCCAAGGCCCAGTGCTGGCCACTCTGTGTGAATCTCCTTGCTTTGGGAGTCAGGTTGGCCGTTACGGAGCCGCCAAAGCAGGTCCTGATCCCACGGCCACGCCCCAGTTCTGCTCCCCAGTTTAACATCTGTGTGGCTGTGAGGTTATCGTGATGGGAAGAGCAGGAACTGGGGCGGGAGGCCTGGTTTAAGCTCCCTCCTCCGTGCAGTGGCCGAGGGCAAGGGAAGTCATTGCGAGGGTCCCCCGTGCACCCTGTCGGTGCAGCAGAGGCCTCAGGATGGGGTCCAGGAAGCTTGGACCTGTCAGTGTTGGGGGTCTGGGGTAGGCTTTGCAGGGCTCTGCCTTTGCCATGACTTGAGTGTCCTCTTCCTCCAGCCATGGGTCTTTGTGCCCAAGGATCAGGCTTCTTCTGGATAGAATCTGGCCTAGCATGTGTCACGTGCCACCCCTCCCCTCGGCCAGTGGGAGAAGTGAGGCACCCTGATGGATAGTCCTCCTGGGCTGGCAAATGGCATAATCTTGTCCCGTGGTAATTTGGTACCTGGCTTTTCTTTCTTTCCTTGGTCTTAGGGTTGGAAACTAGAGCCTTGGATGTGACAGGCAAGTGCTCTGTCCCTGAGCTGCACCCCTAGCACCAAGACGCCTTTTCCCTTTTGAGACAAAGTCTCACGCTGTGTTCAGTCTGTCAGCCTGGCCTGGAACGCACGGTGATCCTGCTGCCTGAGCCTCTCAGGTGTTGGGGTTGCAGACGTGCGCCCCCTCACCTGGCTCTGAGATGCCGTTTTCATTAAAAGTAGAACAGGATCCTGAGCAAACAGAATTATACCTCCTCCGTGTGCTCCAGCAGGGGCAGAGCCGAAGCCAGCAGGTGACAAGGAGCGGACCCTCCGAGGAGGGTGGCTGTCATCCCTGTACTAGCAGTGAGTGCAGAGGATGCAGGCAGTCGCTCATCTGTCTTGTGTTTCAGGAACTCTGACCCAGAACGAGATGGTTTTCAAACGGCTGCATCTGGGCACGGTGGCCTATGGCCTCGACTCCATGGACGAAGTGCAGAGCCACATATTCAGTGTCTATACCCAGGTAAACGCCTTCTGTTGTAGTGGGGAACGAGTCCTGTCCACTGATAGCTGCTCTGGTGCACTGTAGTTCTCAGTGCCGTTCCATTTTGCCACTGAAGTGTACATCCAGGGCGGTGTGGCCATCACCAGTCAGTAAACATTCATCACCCCACACGGAAACTTCCAGCAGTCACTTCCCGCGTCTCCCAGTTACGCTCCCTCCGAGACCCGTGGTGACCGCTGGTCCTTGATACGCGGGCTATAATTGCAGGGAGGCTTTCCCAGCTCCTCACCTGCAGATCAGGCGTCATCCACAGTGCTGATGGAGGTGGGGGAAGCCAGACGGCAAGAGATTGGCCTGATGGCAGGGGCCAGAAGGAGCACTGGGGCCCCCATCGGTGGGTCGCACTTCAAGTTTACGAATGCCTGTTTTCTCTTTGCCCTGGCTCTGAGCCGGGACGGAGCCAGTGGAGGAAGTGGTCTTTCTGATCACCTTTGCTTTCCAGCTGCATTCACCCCCAGGGCCCCGTGAGAAAGATTAATTGATCGGAACATACTTGGCAGCTTCTCTGCTCCTGCTTTTTCTTTCCTATAGAATTTTTTAAGAATCAGTCTTTTCTCAGAGAAAGATGTTCCTGGTACAGGTCCTAATATTCGCCAACTTAATTGGCTGGAGCCTCACATCGCTGCCCATCAGAATTGCTGGTGGTGATTTAGAGCAAAACGTCAAGGAAAACAACAGCCTTTATTGGCCGTAGAGGTTCTGATTCACTGAGACTAGGCAGAGCCCCCTGGGTTTCTGTGTTTTAAAAGTAAGGCAGCACAACAAAAGAAACCCACACCCCAAACAGTCCTTTGGCCATCTGGTAATTCTGAGGCGTCTTCTGGGTAAAGTTGGGCTCTGTTAGGACAGCTCCATGTCTGGCGCCTGTGTAAAGATAAACAGCTTTGTCAAAACAGAGAATGATTCCATAGCCAGAAGTCCAGTTGAAAATGGGAAGCAACACCCGTCTCTGTATAAAGGGAAAAGGCAGAATGCTGGAATGGCACGGTTCTCCACACCAAATGTTCTGGAATGTTCTGGAATGTTCTGGAGCAGGCACACTTGGATTCCATACCCCTACCCTGAAAGCAGCTGACAAGGAAGGGACTGGACTTTAGATAAAAAACAGTTAGTTTGATTCATCTTATGTTATTATCTACAACCAGCAGTACAGTCCCGTAATTCTTGCATGCTCCTAGCATGGCTGCGAGGGCCAGACTCAGGTGGACCCATGGATCATTTCTCAGTGACATTATTTTCTTTAGGACTATTAAAAAACCACAATCTGCCTGCCCTCACTTGACAAAGCTGACCCCGTCCCATGCCTGACCACCACACTGATTTCCCCGTTGCTTGCCTGCTCCCCCCTGTGGACCCTGAGATGAGCACTGTGTCCCCTCCCGGCTCCCCAGTTGAGGGCGGGGAGCTTGGCACCTTTCCTTGTCTTGGGAAAGCCTCTTCCTCCTGCCACCAAGCCCGGCACCGTCCGCCACCTCCTGCGAGGTCTGTTGTTTGGAGTGCTGGGCTTATCAGGCTGGCTGCGGGTCTGTTCCGAGGCAGGCCTGCTGCTGATTGTGCTAGACAGCTTCACAGAGCTGTGGGTGTCTGGCAGAGATAGGCCCTGGCCATCCTGGTGGTATTTTTAAGAGCTCCTGGTATTGACAGAAGCCCTTCTGTGTCCGGGAATTTGTGTGTTATTTCAGTGTTTATGGTTCATTCTCAGTTTCGCACAGATAACATTCTATAAAGTGTTAAAAGTAGAAAATGGCACTGCTTGACGTGAACTCTGGCTCATGCTCTCCTTCCTAGTGGAAGCTCATAAACGGATCTGTCGCCCTGGACCTGGATCTCGATGGTTCAGGCCTGCATGAGGCTGGGGTGAGCTCAAGGTGCGGTTGGCCCTGGCATCCCACCCCCAGGATGGCTGTGTCCATCTGTGCTGCAAGGACTTTTTCATGCTTTTTAATGACTTTTTAAAACCCCAGCTCTATTAAGTGCACAGCTCAGTGATTTGTTTTTAGTGAGTTTAGAGTATGGAGCTGTCATAGCAGCTCATCTTCGAGCATGCCCCTCGCTCCAGCGTGCCCTGTGCCCCTGACCCTTTAGCTGAGCAGTGGATTCCACAGCATGGTTTGCTAATGTGTGGTGTTTGCAACACAGGATCAGGATCAGGTCGCTTGGGCCAGAATCAGAGGCCCTGGGAGTGGCCCCCAGACCCACAGCTTTCACAGATGATTCCAGGGTGCAGAGCAGCTCTAGGACCCCACAGCAGAGTTTGCAATGTTACGTCCTGGAGGGTGTCTTGTTTTCATGTCCAAATTCATGTGAAATTTACACCTTAAGAGTTCTGAGGTTGAGCCAGAGACCCAGCCGGCGTCTGGCCATCAGTAGGCGCGTGCTGTGGAAGGGTCCTGGGTCTACTGTTACTGGTTTTCAGTGTGGTGAAAATGCAGGTTGCAGTTTCTGAGTGTCCTTAGCTAAGCTAACCTCATAAAGATAGCAGGCAGTTTTAAAAGATTCCGGCCGGAAAAGTCCACAGATTATCAGTACAAGGCCAAGCAGACAGCAAAGAAGTAGCCAGTGAAGAAAATAGGGATGTAACTAAAAACTGTAACGTTCACTTTTTTGTGTGTGTCTTTTTGAGACAGGGTCTCACTATGCTGTTCATGCTGACCTTGAGCTCATTGTGTAGCCCAGGCTGGTTTCAAACTTGCAACGATCCTCCTGCCTCAGCCTCCTGAGTGCTGGGATTACAGGAGTGAGCTGTCATGGCCAGCTAACATTCACTTTTAAAAAGTATGTGATAGGGGCTGGGGATTTAGCTCAGTGGCATAAGCACCTGCCTTGCAAGCAGGCGATCGTGAGTTCGATCCCTGGTACCGAAAAAAAAAAAGTGTAAAAAGTATGTGATTCAGTGCTTTTTAGCATGGTCACAACATGCACCCTTTTCTTTGTAAAGTTTCAGGACATTTTCATGACCCCAAAATGAAATTCGCACCTCCAGGACTCCCAGGTGGCTCCTCAATTCCCCCCATACTGGCAGCCACCTGCTCCTTCCTGCCTCTGGATTTTCCCTTCTGTGCTTCGTGTAGGTGGAGTTGGTTACTATGTGGCCATTGGTTTTTGGCCTTGGCTTTTAGCAGATTGTTTTCAGGACTCTGCTGGTTTGTAGTGTGTGTCAGTACTTTCTTCACAGCCAAAGAGTAGATATGATGATTCAAAATTTAAATTAGAAAAAAAATTTAAATTAGAAACCATAATAATCAGTGTTACCCTGAGTATATATCATTTGAGATAATTATGTGAGAAATTTTTTATGTGTAGACTATGATTTTATTTTATTTTTTGCCAAATCAATTTTATTTCAAAGAGAAAAGAAACAAAAAAAGATAATTTCAAAACATGTCAATCAGGGCAGTAATGGTACAGACATTGCGCATTATCACCCCCAAATCATTCACCCAGAGCTCAAGACATCTGCATTCAGTTGTCCGAACAGTACCAGCACAAATCTTTCTCTTCAGTGAACTCCGAGAAATCAGTAGTATAACTGTCTGAACTATCTTTTATTTACATATATGCATATATTGTTTCAGCTTCTCACACCAGTGAGACAATACAGTGTTTACACGTGTCTTATGTCACTTGTATGGTCTCAAGTTGCGTCCATTTATGTATGAAACTCTCCAGTTTATCCTTCTTTGTGGCTGAGGAGCACTCTGTTGTATAAAACCACATCTCTTTTACCCATTCCTCAGTTGATTTAGATTGTTATCAGATTTAGCTGTTCCATACTGTGCTGCTATAAACATGGGTGCACACGTATTGCTGTGGGGTGGTGTTTTTAATTCCTTCGGGAAGACACCCACAAGAGGAACAGCTGGATTGAGTGGGACTCTGGTTCTAGTTTTTATCTCCACACTGATTCTCACAGGGTTTGCACCAGTCTACACTCCTACCACTAGTGGAGATGGGTTCATTTTTCCCCACAGCCCCTTCAGCATCTGTTATTGGTTGATTTCTTGATACTAGCCATTCTTTCCGGGGTGGGATGGATTCTCAGTGTTATTTTAATTTGCATCTCTCGAATGACCAGTGATATTGAACATTTTTTTCACTTATTTATTTGCTGTTTGTATTCTTCATCTGAGAAGTGTGTATTCATCTCAGATGCTTTTGGGTTGGGTCTTTAAATCTGGGAGGACTGCTTTTTTGAGTTGTTTATATGCTCTCCATAGTAATCCTTCGTCTGAGGAACACTGGCAAACGTTGTCTCCCACACTGCGGGCTGTGTCTTCACTCTGTCATTTCTGTTGCTGTGCAAAAGCTTTTCAATAGGACGAGATCCCGTTTGCTGATTCTTTGCGATAGTTCCTGTGCAGTCGGGGTTTTGTTCATGAAGTCTTTGCCTACACCAGTTCCCTCGACAGTTTTTACCTACTCTCTCTTCCAGCAGATTGAGTGTTTCTGTTTTAACATTAAGAGCCGGTGTTAGCTTAGTGTACGGTGACAGATATGGGTCCAGTTTCATTGGTTTTTCCAGCACCATTTATGAAAGAAAGCCTATCATTTTAGAATTTCATTTTTGTTTTATAATAGTAAGTAGTACAATGCAGTATTAATATAAATATGTAACTGGAGGATACCAAAAACATTTTCCCCAGTGTGTCATTGTCAACGTATTTCAAGGTAACTGTAGAGTTTATGGTGTATTTGATTTTATTCCTCCCAGCAAGCAGAAAGCTCTGACTCTTGTTAATGTAATGTGTGCATCTGAGGAGAAAATGGGGCACCGTGGGGACCAGAATCTTGAGGCGCGCTGACCCCGGGATACCTGTGCCCAGCACCACCCAGGGTCCTGCTAGCCTGCCCGCGATTTCAGCATTTTTTTTTAAAATTTTATTTTGAAAGTATACAACAGAACAAGAATAAAGCCAACTAAGATTGTACAATGAAATTGGTACAGAACTTCACAGCAG